TAACTTTGAAATTAAATTACTCTGTTATCCTGGTAGATTTATATGGCAAATAGTATACCATTAGATTACGTGATTATCCTGCTACATTTCAGTGAAAACAGATTAACAATCAGAATATCCATTCAAAAACTATTCAAATATTTCCTGTCCCAGATAGAAGCTATTATATACTGTATATTATAACATTTGAGAGTTGACAAACTGTCTCAACTGAAAAGTAGTTTGTTTAAAGTAATATTTATAAAATTACAAGTAAAATACGTAAATAGATGTGAAATTAGATTACTGTTAATTGTTATTTCCAGTAAAATTTGTACAAAAATAGTAAAATTAGTGATAATTGTTAACTTTGCATGTATAATAAATACGTTTTCTGAAAATTATATAATTTCCTCAGATTATGCGCACCCATCGAATAGTGCGCCACATTACTTTTTCCCAAAAAATCACATTTTTCCTCAGATAGTGCGCGCACTATACGACGTGAAACAGGGTATATTGAATGACAAGTAGTATGTATTTTATTTTATTTTTTAAATTCAAAACTGTATGTAATACAGTATTAACTCATCAAAAATTTATTTTTTTATTATCTGACAAAATATTATTTTACCAAACCCAATACATAACACTTGCGCACCTACAATGATTTTTACTTACCAAGTTGGTATATAAAGGTCCAGCATATCACTATTTGTTGTCAATTTAAAATATATTTTAATATTTACATAACTATAAAATTGAAGTAAGCTTTTACCATAAAATATAGTTATGCCTATAGTTGCTAATGATAATCCTGATAAAGTCTACAAAAAAGGTAATCAATTTATTAAGAGTGTTAATTTAAGACATTCAAATTATTTTAAATAGCTTACTATGTTTATGACATTTTAATTAATTATCAATTATCCAGGTGATCCCTTTCCAGCCCGTGCTGACCCAAACCTACTGCGCCTATACAACTCCCCGCACTGTCGGTTCTGCGAACGGGTACGGCTAGTGTTAGCCGCCAAAGGCATTGAGTACGTACTGTAGCAATATTATATGTAACTAGCTATTTAACTAGCTGAAAACATACTTATTACTATTTATTAAACTATTATTTCACAACTACTTGGGTGGTCAGGCATGAAGTAATAAATGTGAAACTTAAGGACAAACCCGAGTGGCTCCTGGACCGCAACCCATCGGGCAAAGTACCGGTGCTTGAGATCGGTCCCGACAGTCAAATCTTAACCGAGTCGCTCATAATTAGCGAGTATTTAGATGAGGCCTATCCTGACAAACAGCGCCTACAGCCTGAGGATGCCTTCCAGAGGGCCACCGATCGACTGTTTATCGAGATATTCAGCGAAATTTTCAGCGCCAAAGAGACGGTTATAAAGCAGTTTCTCGTAACTGAAAACATGGCGGACAAGTGGACAGACATTATGGAGGTACTGACAGCTCTGAATAAAGTGCTGTCCCAGAGGCGATGGATCCATAAGTTTATATCCGGTAGTGTACGCAGACATACCTGTCCATATTACCTTGATAAATATATTTAAAATAAATTAGTAAATAACATTAAACTGATATTAATATTACTATTTTTTGCATATAATAGCTATTTATGGATGTTAATAAAAATAGGAGTCTACTATTATTGTGTTAGGTTATGACTTTCCATATGCTACAGGTGCTGAACAGCCATGTCTGGCCGACTACATGGTGTGGCCATTAATCCAGGGATTGGTAGTATTGGTAGATCTGGCGGGTCAGGACAGGGAGGAACTTATGCCTAAATGGTTGCCCGCTCTATACGACTACTGGCGCCAAATGCCTACCGACCCCACTGTCCAGAAGGTTTGTCAGCCCCACGAGGCACAGGTAGCCGTGCATCGAGATATGCGTTCAAAGATATTTAAAAAGTAGTGCCAATCATGTGGTGAATCAGTATTTGTTTCGCTTATTATTAGTGATTATATTTTAAACAAGAATTTTATGTTATTTTAAAACATTAATAAAACAATATTCTGAATATTATTTTCCACTCGTGTAATACTGCATGTAATATGAAGTAATATAAATCAAATAAACAGGATATTAATGGGAATATGAAACATTTTTTTGTCAATTTTTCTAAACTCATGATTACTTTTATTATATTAATATAGAATTTCTAAATTCATAGATTTACAATGGTAATTTTAAAAAACAAAATAGTTATAATTTATATTGCATGTTTTATGTTTTAGTAAAATATGTTT